AATGATAGGGTGGAGCACTACTTCAGCATATGGGACCCATTTTCGTCATAAGCGTCAAATACAATGTAGACAAACAGCAACATCCAACGTTCATTCATCTAATTCATTGCTCACGAGTTAAATTATGTGAATCCTGTAAAAAAAATTGTACGGGGCTACCGGAATGCTGATTTAAGGGGGGTCTACCGAAGTGAAGTGAGGTATGCTGAAATGGTACCACACCCTAGCCTTGACTGTACAGCGGTACACACCTTACTCTAAAAGTGAGTTCCTTTCCCGACCGAAAAAATATATATTGAAAGCATACTCATATTGGAAATGTCCAAGGGAAACATTGATCCTGTAAAAAAATGCTTACTATTATAGTTGAAGATGCTAAGCTTCAAATAACAGAAAGTGGTAATTTTTATACGATAGGAGATGAAAGTATAGAGTTGATAGTTCCGTTAGAATTGTATATGTATAGAGAGTAGAAAGCGAGCAAAGACAACTGTGAGGAAGGTACGGTTCGGGTTGATCATCTTTCTTTACTAAACTCCCGAGGGGCGATCAACTGCATAAATCAGCTGAATTGTAAATATACACTTCGAAAAATACACAAAAAAATACGTAAATGCGTACACGGTAACTAAAATACCCTAATAAAAATACTAAAAAATACCTCGAAAATACTTTGTACATGAAAAATACATTCCATATTAATACATTTTAATTCAAAAATATACAAAACTTAAAAATACATAAATACGAAAACATACAAAATACACCTTTTCAAGTCGTGTAGATGAATCGAAAATACTCAAATTCCATAATATTTTCACCTACCCTTCAATTATAGTTAAATGAAGGCCAAGTTTTAAATAATTTTATGACTGCTAGTTAGCTGGAGAATTAATAATATCAATAATTATTGATTTAATCAGAATTTATCCCTGACTGATAAAAATGGCATAATGACGAAGATTGATAAACAATATACTCTTGGTGATTAGGATTAAAAGTATTAAGTAATTTTATTTATGATTAATGCAGCTCGCTGCTCTCTGATTTAGATAACACTTTTCACATGCCTTTGGTATGGGAGGTTTTACAAAGGATGTTCTTTTTTTTGTTTTTTTTTTTCATTATATGTAGTCAGTCATTTAACACATTTAAGGTCATTTGTTACTTGTCCGGAAGGATATTTGAACTTGTGACCAGTGCTGATAAAAATCATTCCTTCTACACTCAACATAGCGGAAAATGAAGACAACCTTAACAGATAGGCCAACTACCAACATGAATTTTAATTTTAACATAAAAACATTCTCTTGATCAAGACAACCTTAATATTCGTCTTCATCTTGGTGGGGATGATTTTCAGGATTAAATTCAAAATGATTATTTTCATAGTACACAAATATAGCGCTGTAGAACGTGTTATGTTGGTTTTTGCACACAGATCGATGGAAAATTATTGCCTCATGTTGAATTGATGGTAATATCTAGGTTTTAGGCTCTGGGGTCGACAATATTCAAAATAATAATTTTGCCCAAAATGAATTTGATTATTTTGCTTTTGAGGATAGCTTCTGCGAAACTACGAAATGCACGGAATTTTAAAAAAAAACACACACACACACAAGGCGATTTTCAAAATTCTGCTTTGGTCACACACTTTGGAGCCAACACTCAATGCTGTCAGTGACGAACTTGTGCAGATTTGTTTAGTAGCTAAATGTAAAACGAAATTAAATGACTTAAGTAAAACAATCACATGGAGCTGATAAAGTGCAGAGACATCTACGTTCTGAACTGCTTGGAAAACGATAATGTGACTCAGAATGCACGAAATTACACTTTTTGTTACCAGGTGAATCTCTGTCATTGACGAAAAAATTAATGAGATTTTGAAAAAGCCTTTTTTGATGATCACGTCTATCAGTGACTATGTGATGAACAATTCTGTCAATACCGCGTGAAAGTCTATCAATGCCAATGACAAATCTCAGCACTGATTGGTACCAGAAGGGTGGAAACTATCGATTAAAAATTGGCTCACTACTTGACTAGCCTATTGGTCCCAAGCAAATCGATCAATGTACCCCATTCTAGTCGAAGTTCTAGTACTAAACTATGTTTGTTTTGATTCGCTATGAAAGTTTGACAGATAAAATGAGGGGTTCGTGGATATTCCTATGTTTCGAGGGGTGCATCGTTTGGCATGGGACCGAAGATAGTACCAGAGCTGAACCAAAAAGTTGAACACGTTTCTTCGGAACATTCTGGTCTTAGAGTTACCTCTATGTTGGTACTCAGTACGGAAAACAAAATCGACGAAAAACAAATGAAACAAAAAAAAATAGTTCAATTTTTTGGAGGCTAATCAGGCCTCAATTAGGAACCGTTTGAGCACTGTGGAGCGAAAATGTCAAATGTCAAAATGCGCTCTTGCACTTCACAGACTCATAAAGATGTACAAGACATTGTTCAATACTTCATTGAGCATGTAAAACTGCATGATCATATCTCCAGAATGGTTTGGAAAGCATTAAATATCTTATTGATAGCGTTCGATGATGTGCATGTTGTCAAGATGCTCTTTTGAGCTTCATGGACTAAAAAAGATTTTCCGGATATTGTATCGCGATTTCCATTGAACCTGCAGAAATTCAAGATCGTAAGTCCAGAATAGTTTGGAGAGTATTAAAAATCTTATTGATACCGTTCCATGATGTGCATGTTGTTAAGAGGCTCTATTGAGCTTCACAAACTCATAGAGATTTTCAGGACATTGTTCAGTACTTTATTGAGCCTGTAGAACTTCAAGATCATGACTCCAAAATAGTATGGTGTGCATTAAATATCTCATTCGATGATGTGCATGTTTTCAAGAGGCTTTCTTGAGCTTCATACACTCATACAGATTGAGAAGGGATAGAATCCTCTGGTTGCTTCTTTTGAACTTACCTTATTCATGATGAATCCACATAGGAGGGAGATAGAAAGAATAATGCCTAATTTTTCCCGACATCGATATTGGTCATAGAAAAAGTGCTATTTTTGGACGAAAACTTGAATAGCTTATGAAATATAGTATTGATGATAGAGACTTTTTTTTTCTTGATTTGTTTTCCGTGGATCTTGTTTTCCGTAGTGAGTACTAATGGTACCGACACCAGAAAGGCAGCTTCTACACCTGGACCCTACCTATCGATCTATCGGCTTTACTTCCCTCCCGAAGGAAGGCGTGATCAGAGATTTTATGCCTCAGAAAATCCCGGTGGCGCCAACTGGGATTGAACCCTGGCCTTTTGGGTGAGATGCAATCACGCTTACCACTTACCACCGGCGCCGCTATGATAGAGACTTGAAGAGACCTGAAAAATGACAACATGTCGTATCATTATAATATAAGTAAGTTTGTACGTTTGTATATGCTATTAGTACGTTCTGACTATAGCTGATATTTCCATTGAAAACTTGATGTATGAGTGCTCATTGAAAGATAGCCTATATTACATGATATAAGCCATAGTCTGACAGGGTGCCTTCCATTCATTTTGACTAAAAAAAATGTTTAAAGAAATTATGGAATAATAAGATATTATGAAAATATTTTGATTATGTAAATAACAAGAAAAGATTGTTAAGTTTGTGTTTGACACAAAATACCTGCCAATTTTGCTACATGAGAGTCGCAATAAGCGATTTTGTAATTTATCTCACCCACTCTTCGCTCTTCACTTTTCGCGAAGAGGCGATCAGAAAAACGTTCATTGTGACTCTGTCAAAGCTAAACCTGCAGGTTTGATGTGTGAAACACAAACTTTACAATCTTTTCTTATTACTTACATATACAAAATATCATCATAATATCTTATTATTCTATAATTTCATAAAACATTTTTTTAGTCAAAATGAATGGAAGGCACCCTGGTCTGAACGTACTATATGGCTTATAGTATGGCAAATAATTGCAACACAGAAACCACCATCGAGATAGCGCTATAACATGTTATAACTCTCTGAACAAGGCTTAACATGCATTCAAGTAATGTTTTCTTTCATGTAACGTGTTTAATCGTACGTTCAGATTACAGAGTTATAGAGCTATAGACTTCTCTGACGTTTGTTAAATGCACAAGAATTAGTGCAGAACTGGGTAAATTATAAGCACAGACAAACAGACGTAACTCTTTGAATAAAATTTCCTTCAAAACATAGTACCGCCAAACATAGGACTGCAGTAACGACATTTCGCGGGCTTCTCGCGGAAAACAAATTTTCTCGCTGATTCGCAAACAATGTTGCATGCAAGAAACACCGAATATATAGAAACGTCAAAGTGACCCGATACCAGCGCTGCAGTGAGTAGTTCGCGCAAACCAATCGTTAAATGCGCAAACGGTGATCCAGAATGAAAAGTTACGTCTGTCTGTCTGTGTATGTATTAGTGCAAGAAAACCTTTGAATCTACCCAAAGTTCTGCACTAATACTTGTGCAATTCACAAACGTCAGATATTCTATATCCCGTTTAGGAAAAATGTTCTAAATTCTGAGAAAATCAAAAAAACATTTTAGGTGCTTTACTTAAAATAAATTGGAGATTGCGAATTTTAAAAATAATCGCTTGTATCAATATTGACATTTAAATTTGAAGGTATCGGGGATTTATGTAATTTTTCTAAAGTATCAGAATACTTAAAATCTTGTATTTTTGCACCTCCGGACATTGAACATTTTCAGACTTCATATTTATTTTTTATATCTACGATATAACTAAACTTTAGGAGCCTTGACGTGAATAAATATTGAGAATTCGATTAAATTTTCCTCTATTTTGCACCCTGGCTACGCCCTTGGGTGGTGATGTAGTACGCATTTCGTTCATTTAAAATATCACTTCTGATCAATGTAACAACATCACTATAAAGCAAAATTCTTTTTTTTTCTACCAAACCACAACGTCCTTCCCATGTGCCTAGTAATAAAATGAAACTTTTTCTCATCTTCACAGACTGAAATCGAAATGACGATGGGTAATATGCGTCCACTGAAGATAACCACAGTCGGTGATGGAATGGTCGGCAAAACGTGCATGCTAATTACCTACACACAAAACGAATTCCCCAGCGAATATGTGCCAACGGTGTTCGATAACCACGCCTGCAATATCACGGTGGACGAGAACGAGTATGCCCTCACACTATGGGACACGGCAGGACAGGAAGACTACGAAAGACTACGACCGCTAAGTTACCCAAATGTTAGTCTGCAACAAGTGCAAAATGACTGTCGATAACTGTTATCACTTATCATTGTTTTTCATTGCAGACCGATTGTTTTCTCATATGTTACTCCATATCTAGTAAAACATCGTTCGATAACGTGCTTTCAAAGTGGTACCCGGAGATAAGGCACTTCGCACCGACTGTGCCGATTGTCCTTGTGGGTAAGAAATGCCGAATAAATTCAATTTGATTCCGTTTCGATTTCTTATCTCACATCCATACACAGGAACCAAAAGTGACCTCCGAGTACATGGATCCGAGAAGTTCGTTACTACACCAGAAGGCAAAAAGCTAAAGCACAAAATCAAAGCTTACTCGCTGGTAGAATGTTCCGCGAAGAAGAAACTCAACCTCGGTGAGGTGTTCGACGAAGCCGTGCGAGCGGTGGAGAAAAAGCCTCATGCCAAACCACGTGTCTGCACGATACTCTAGTTCCCGGTCGATTTCCTAGTTTATAGTTTTGTTAAATCCTACAATTTTATTAAATATATATTATATCGATAAGGCCACGGCCAGTGATGGTAGGTAGATGCTCTACTTTCAACTTAACCAATTGTTTCAGAAAAAAATATCCTCATAAAACGACGCCTCTGGCCTTAATCTAAATTACAATCCAATCTAGCAAACAAGTATTCGTAGATTTCCTACCGTTGAAGTATTGTGTTTATTGAAAATTGAGATATTTGCTAAAATTTACTGCTAAATTTATTATCGAAAATGTTGTGCTATATTCTGCAAATTATATAAATTTGTTACATTTTCAATAGGATATTTTATTTGCATCCCGATCATTGGGAGAACTCCCACATTCATCTACTAGTCATACGAGTTTTTCATGAATCATTGAAAATGTAACTGAAGAAATACATGAAATATTTGTGTAGATACTTGTGAACAATGTTTAGATGACATTCCATATACGGACTGAGCCACCGAGTGTTAGTTACAATAAATCGCTATGATTATAGAAATGCAGTTGGAGTTGATTCCCTACTTAGCTATCAGGCTCATTATTTCATTTTTTGTCGAATCGGTAAACAAGCGTATTAGCCAGGGATACCAGATGATGTTTTCGAGAGTCTGCGATAAAAAATTGAAATGTCTGGAAATTTTCAAAAATGTCTGCAAAATCGTTTTTGACCAAACATGATCTGATATTTACTAATAAAACCAGTAGGTGCAATGCTTCGTTTACACTACATACCAGACTTGGTAAAAACACCGCTCGGTGCGGCTCGGTGGCAACCTACTCATGTATGCACAGCACTGGGTTTCTTCGATAAAGCACCCGGTGTCGGTGCAACATGTTGGCACGCCACCGAACCAAAAGAGAAACCCAAACGCGGTGCTACGGGCTTCGGCTCGCCACCGTGCGGCACGGAGCCAACGAACCGCTCATGATTTCGTATCGTTCGTTGTTGGTGATGCGCTATACTCGGTATCATTTGCTTTTTTATCAAAACTGAGTTTTTCAATGGAAGTGGTAGCAAGTAGCTCAAAGTTTAATAATTAAACTCGATAAACTCAAGAAATTTGTTCTGAAATAGTTTAGAAAAATGGGCAAGTAGGTTTTCCCTTTACATAAGAATCCATGGTGCGAAGCAAACTTAAAACGCGTTCTTAATTGCGTCCGTCATTTCTCTCGCCAGGAACAGGGTCCGTTCGGATACGGATGTATTTTTGCTTCACCCGGTTGAATAACCGGGTGAAGCAAAATGTCTAGATCAACCATAGAAAAGGGCCCATCAGCATTTGTAAACAAATCGTTCTAAAGCCCTTTCCTAACACAGCAAAGGCCGCCTACGCAAACCAACACCATCATCGGATAAGGGAAAGTTTCCCCTACATGATATGGCATTGGTTTGCGTGTGTGGCCTTCACTTAGTGAAGAAAGGTCTTTAGAACGGTTTGTTTACAAATGCTGAAGGGCCCTTTTCTATTGTTAATACAGAACTTCTTTGGTGCTCTGGTGCTAATTTTACCACTCATCATTCTCGTCTACGATTATGTTTGGTACATGTTGTGCCGCGCTGCGTAAACTAAAAAAAGTTTTCTAAATAAGAGGCTGTTCATAAACTACGTAGACAGTTTAGAGGGGAGGGGGGTTGGTAATTATCCATGATCCATACAAATTTTAAAATTTTTGTATGGACAATTACCTACGCAGGGGAAGGGGGGGTCAAGAATCCAAAAAAGAACTGTCTACGTAGTTAATGAACAGCCCCTAAAGTTATAGTGAAGCAAATTGTATTCGCCAGTGAAAATAAGAACAAAACAATTAACTTGTAAGTGACGGAAAAAAAAGTATGGTTTTAAAGCAATTATATTTGCCGCATTAATGCTACATGGTGAAAACCGCTGTTGCATTAATTCGCATTGACGGCATTGGCTCTTCACAGTGTGATAGTTCCTTAGGTGCTGTTCATAAACTACGTAGACATGGGGGGGGGGGGTTTGGCAATTGTCCTCGGTCCATACAAATTTTAAAATTTCAGGGGGGTCAAGAATCCCAAAAAACTGTATACGTAGTTAATGAACAGCCCCTTTGAGATTTTTCATTTGAGCGACAGAGTACGGAACAGCCCGCCATGCTTCACGCACAGAATGACAGTTGTTTGTGGGGTTTTCCCATAGTAGTAAAGAGGTACAGTATCGCCGGAAAGGTCAATCAGAAAAGGAACGAAAAAAACAGGTAGACTACGATAATGGAAATAAAGAAGAAGAAGCACGGTATTCTGTCTGGCACCGGACCCTGGCACGGAGCCGCACGGAGCGCACCGAATAACCATAGCACGGCACCAAGCCGAATAAAACGGCTCCGCGTTCAGGTTTCTTGTTCATATCGGTGGCGAGCCGACAAGAGGTACCGAAACCGAGTGCGTGTTAGCTTTGAACGGGGAGCAATATTCTTGCACGGCTCGCAGTGCCGGTGGGTGTTTTTCCAAGTCTGCTACATACTATATTAAGGGGTATAGTCTATCTTGATATCAGAATCAATACACTAAATCTGGTTCATTTTGATGAATGACCCTACACGTTTGCTTAAGTTGACAATAATCGTATTGTTAATACATTCTGCAGAGTGATTCAGAATAACTGTCACAGACTTCACAAATATGCAATTCTCAATGGGTAATATATGTTCAAGTATTTTTGTTTTAAAGCTTGTACAAATATCAGCTTGTATTGATAGTAGGTTTTGAAATTTTATTAGTTTTCGATTTCCAGCAGCCATGGAGCATGTCATAAGGCAGTATATATTCGTAAGTTATCTTTTAGAAGCTGAAATCTCGTCGAAAGAATGAAACATTAATTTTTCGCATCATTATAGAAGTAAAAAAGAACCATTCGCTGAAAATTCGTTCCCTGCTTCGATCAGAGAGCGTATAGGGCGTCGTTGTGTCAATTTGGTCGTTGCACATTTCGAGTATGAGAGAGTGATTGCAGTTAGATCAAAAGTGCCTGAGAAAAATGCAAGTACTTTCGCGGATTACCCGGAATTGCGATAGTAAGGGTATGATCACAGGTAAGCAGACATAAGACGCTTAAGATGTTCATTGATATTGCTTTTAACGGTCAATTTAAATGTTTCTTAGTTGACAGTACCGCTACTTGTGGCGCACATAATCAATAATTGAAATTATTTCTTTGCGCTTGCTGCTGAGTTTGATTCATACACTCCAAAAATTGAAAATGATAAATGAAGGTTTAGAGATTGCGCAAATGGTTTGAATTTTATATGGAGATTTTGGCGAATTACTACAGGAAATTATTGAAGTACACTTACATCGCTCAAACTTTGGTTCTAGTTGTTCAGCCTATTTTCTATTTTACGGTAAATTCAGTACTTGCTATTACCATACACAGTAGTTTTTAATAGAAGTTACTGAACGTCAGTAGTTATATTTAGAGTAGCAGAATGTTCGGTAATTTTGGTGATTTACAGTTGACAAATGTAAAAAATGACCGAACAGGGAAATGGTGATTAAGTGTGTATATGTCATTTGTTTATCACATTGCAAAAATTCATGCGTGGGACACATAAAAATAATAATTGAATTTTGCTAAGTGTATGGATTCAGCAAGTATATAAAAACAACTCCTATTTTTCAAAGGAAGGAGCCGAAATTCCACTTGGCTGAACAGGAAACCTAAATTTAAATGAAAATACGTACTTTTGAGAATTTAAACCCATTTTCTAAAAAAAAATCCATGCTTCAAAAAATTAGAAGGGTCTATGCCTAGGGGCACGAACGGGAGCTTGACGTAGGACCGCTAGGGCACGAAACAAATGTGAAGAAAATTTAGTTCTTTTAATTAATCGATCATCTATTATCTTAACTCTTTCCGTTTTCGATTAGTGGTTTTTTTTTCAAAGAGAAAGTTGATGAAGAGAATCGATCAAAATCGCTTGCACCCCTGCTTCCAAGTTACAATATTACAACTCTGGAGAGCATTTTGTGTGGTCGTTGGGGGCGTGTGGTTCTGAATATAGACCAACAGGCAGAAAAATTCTATTCTAACTTTTTACTGTAATAAGCTTGTTGGCCCAGAAAAGGGCCGTTTTGTTGCCATAGTTGGTGATGATTTAACCTCCAAAACTGTACAGAGTTCGTCTGTCGCTTCAAAGCGTAGACGACATCGATGGCCGCTTACGCTTGGCGTGTTAAGTATAGGTGACAGCATCACGGATCTCGTTTTCCAAGAACACCTTCAGCACACCTCGTAGATCAGACCGGAGACACGTTTGACACCGCCACGGCGAGCCAGACGATTGCTTTTGCTGCTTCTGCTGTCTGCTCACCACGGCGTCCGAAGCGAAAATGAGTTGAGGCTTTTTTTGACTTAAAATGATCTTTATTTCTTGTGTTTGTGTGGTTTACATTTATGAATTTTTCAAGTGACACAGATGCGTCTTTTCAACTTTAGTTCATTTGAGATTTTAATTATTATTTACAGTTACTAGTCCTATCAGGCCTATTTTAAAGTATGACCACCTTGGTGGGATTGGTTTGATTTGAATTGGAAAAAAGGAGACTACTTATAACTACTATTTACAACTACAACTAACCTACAACTACTATATACACCTAACCTACTATATACAAATTGCTTATCAAAGCATGTTCTGATAAATTACATTTTTCTGCTAATTTAGTCTTAATTTCGTTAATTCTTGAATCTATTTTGGCAATGCCTGCCTCTTCATGTAAATTTGTTATTTTAGTGTCGAAAGGACGATCAAGAACCATCCTCAGCACTCTATTCTGAGCGACCTGAATTTTGTTCCTGTGAGTCTGTGCACATGATTCCCACACCGGAGCTGCGTAGAGGATCGCAGGTGCTATGATTTGTTTGTAGACGGCCAGTTTGTTCACCCTTGAGAGGCGGGATCTGCGGCAAATCAGCGGATACAGACACCTAACCAAGGCAGAACACTTGATTACGGTTTTCTCCACATGCGAACGGAAGAGGAGCTTTTCATCGAACAACATCCCGAGATAGGTTACTTCGGCGGACCACTCAACCCTTGTGCCATCCATGATTACAGTACAAGATGGAGCCGGTTTCAGTTTGGGCGATTGCCGATGGAGGAACATGATCGCTTGTGTTTTGGAGGCATTGATTTTGATTTTCCACGTGGTGGCATAATCAGCAAAGGCGTTAAAGCATCGTTGAAGTTTGTTCGTTATTTCGCGAGGCATCCTTCCTTTGACGGCTATTGCGGTATCATCTGCGAACAGGAAAAACACGCAACCGTCTCCAAGGGGAGGAATGTCGGAAGTGTAAATGCTGTAAAGCAAGGGGCCCAGCAGACTGCCTTGCGGGACTCCTGCTGGGATGGAAAACGTGTCGGAAAGACAACCATTCAACGATACCTTA